CCCTCTGGTCCCTCTGGGGCACAGCGGCTAGATTCCATTTTGTTGTTGCTATTGTTGCTGTTGTTATTGTTGTTTTAACAGCGAGCTTGATGTCACCGCCACAGAAACCCTTTTGATGTGAAGATGGGTTTGTGAACTCCCTGCTTGTTTCAGGAAAGAATATAGAGCCTATAAAAAGTATGATCCCCGGGGACTGGAGAGATGGCTCAGAGGTTAAGAGCATTGCCTGCTCTTCCAAAGGTCCTGAGTTCAATTTCTGACAACCACATGGTAGCTCACAACCATCTGTAATGAGGTCTGGTGTCCTCTTCTGGCCTGCAGGATACATGCAGACAGAAAATTGTACACATAATAAATAAATAAATATTTTTTTAAAAAAAGTATAATCCCAACAGCAAGGGTGAACTTAAACAGCCTGGGTCTACCATCCTGATGAGTTTTCATGTGCCAAAAGGGAGACCCAGTTTTGTTCAAAGTTACAAATCCTGAGCCTTGTCCCTCAGACAGTTGTGGCAGTTGCTGCCCTCAATTTCCTGAATCCATCTCTTGGTAACTGGCTGAGCTATTTCATCACCCGCCACCTGCCTGGACCGTCTGGAGGGCACCCTAGAGGGTCTCCTATCTTCCATCATCACTGGGCAGCCAACCAGAGTTTGAGGGAATCCACCAAACCTGCATCTTTCTGCTGGAGGATACTGAGTTTCAGGCGTCATAGGCTTGCCTCTGTTTCTAGCCTGTTTCTCTCCTACCCACTCCCTGCTTACATTTATGTGTGTGTGTGTGTGTGTGTGTGTGTGTGTGTGTGCAGCTGTGGAGGCAAGAAGAGAACATGCAGGTGTCAGTTCCCTCCTTCCACTCTGTGGATCTTGGGCTCGAACTCAGGTCATTGGATTTGGCAGCAAGCGCCTTTACCTGCTCCTGCCCCACTTTGTTTTTTAGAAGATCTAAATGGCTGTGCTGATCACCTTTGCTCTCTGGTCATGCCCTTTCGTAGCTCTTGCTCATCAGACACTCCCACAGTGGTATATGGACCTTCAGTCTCTAGTCCAGGGGCCTTGTCAGCCTGCTCCTGTCGTTTCCCCATTCTGGAACCCTGTCTTGCAACTCTGGACAATCCCAAAGTTTACTAAGCATCCCCAGTCCTTCAGTGAGGTGGCTGCAGAGAATTGGCATAGACACCAGACACATGCCCATAGCCTGCCATGCTTTCCCGGTCTCTCTTACCCTCTGCTTCTGCAAATGCTTCTCTGTCACCACAGAGTGACTTATTCTCACTGATTCTCCTTGACTACAAAGTGCAACCTAGATGCCATAGATGTCACTAGCATGGTGGGGCCCTTGTCCACTCGAATGGACAGGATTTTTTTGTTGCTCATTCTCTACCACGATCAGCCAACAGTTACCATAAACTGGGGTGTGTGTGTGGTCTCTCTCACCTACTGGTCTAGAACTCACAACTGTCTTCCTGACTTACTTGAGTGCTCGGATTATAGGCATGAGTCATCAAACCCAGCATCAACCTAATGGTTTTTTGAGTGCTTCAACCCAGAACCTAGTGTCTATGCAAAAATTCTTAATGAATAACTCAATTAACAGCTTGAATTTATTGAATAACAAATGAATAAACGAATGCTCCATTGAAGGCAAGCTCCTTAGTCACAGCGTTTGCAGCCCGTTCTTCAGACAGGAACTTTGCTTCTCTTCGAATGTTTATTTTTACTCTGGAATATACAAGAACAGGCAGAAGCAGCCACTGCTTCATAGGAACCAAGGAGAAGGTGCTGTGGCGAACAAGTAGGGGAAGAAGATGTTTCTGAAACCCCAAAGGAGAGCATGCTGAAGAAAGTGAGTCACACAGAGTAAAGTCCGGGACCACACCCAGCTCTTAAACTCCAGGAGTGCTGTGGGACCCAGGGATTGGCCAAGTTCCAGGGCAAGAATACAGACAGACACTAGGTCTTGCCCATTCAACATTTATACTTGTCTGTAGTTAGTCTTGAGAATGCCATTTCAGATGGTCATAATGGCACACAACGGGAATCACAGTACTAGGGAGGATGAGTCAGTAGGATTATGAGTTTGAGGCTAACCTAGGATGTTACATGCCCAACTTCAAAAGAGCCCAAATAAAATCAAAGAAACAAAAATAAAATTATCAAGCAAATAAAGTGTTACTCCAACTTGTTTTGTGTGGTATTAAATATGTGGTATTAAATATTAAATATGTGACTTGAAATCTGTACATATATATATATACATATACATATATATATATATGTTCAATTTATGTGTTGTAACTTATAAGAGTTTTGGGTGTTTCTTCTATTCAAGCACTTGATTTTTAAAAGTTTATTTTTAGTGTTTATTTTTATTTTTATTTATATAGGGATGTTGAGTCTGCACAGTGCGCCTGTGGGTCAGGTGTATGCGGTGTGTAAGGAGGTTATCAGGCTCCTTTGAACTGGAATTTCCTGACAAGGGTAAGCCTCCAAGGGCTGCTAGAAACCTCCAAGGCGCGCTTTTAAACAATGAGCCATCTCTCTGGCCTCTAAGAGTTGGTTTTCTTTTCTTTCTTTTTTTTTATTGATTTTTTTATTGAACTCTACATTTATCTCTTCTCCCCCTCCTTGCCTCTTCCCTCCCCTCCCCCTTCCAGCCCTCCCCCAAGGTCCCCATGCTCCCAGTTTATTCAGGAGATCTTGTTCTAAGAGTTGTTTTAAATAATACTCGTCATAAACATTGCAAATACTCAGAGTGCAATTTGCCTTTATAAATGTCCTTTTATCCTATCATCACAAAAATCTTTCTCTGCACCTCCTACCATTTTTATGGTTTTATTTTCTTCAAAGAAAGCCGGCTTTACTACTAATTTTCTCTGGTGTTGGTGTGAGGTTGGTGTGACTGAGGGCATTCCTCCAGAAAGTCAGCCCACTCACCAGCCTGTACGCCACTGAACATGTTACTTTCCCTTTATGTCTTCCCGGGGTTCCTTTCCCCCTCCAGCTGAAGTGCGATGATACTTTTATTTCTCGGTTAAAAATTTATAGCTAGCTAGTATTCATTTCTGAGCCAGGAAGATCACACAAGGTAGAGAAAAATCTGTCTTTGAATTTTCACAGAACTGCGGTGGCCCCTAGGTACCTCTGAAGGGAAGTGGAGGAAGCCCTAAACGAACGTGTAAGGAGAGGATGACGTTCTGAGTGCGTGTGTACCGTTGTCTTGGGCACAACCACATCAAGGACCCTGAAGCCTCAGACCTATGGGGAAGGGAAAGCCTCTGAGACTCAGAGGAAAATGGCAAAGCCCTCTTCTGCCAAGTGCAAGAGTTGGCAGTGTGTGCAAAGGCTAGCAACCACAGCTTCCTCCTCCCAGATGACCACAGCCCGAGACTGCTTCCCTCCTGAACCCTCCTGCCCAAGATGGCCTAAGCCTATCTTCTTGTTCAGCTGTATACACTGCAGCAGCCCCTTCGACTTGTATTTCAGATATATAAAATAACCATTTCAGGTTTCCAAATTGCTCTTGTAGAAGGCACTGCTCCATCAGAGAGCAGAGCCCACTCGAGCTCAGATTTTCTGTGCATGTGTCTGTGTGTCTGTCCATTTCCTCAATGACTGAGGCAGGCTTCCAGGACCAAGCCGTGCCAGACTTGGCAATGTGGGACCACATTCCTTAGCCAACCCTCCTCCTACAAAACGGTGCAGTTTGCATACATCTCCCACATGGCATCTGGTATAGTTAAGTCACCTGTATATTGTTTATACAATTAGTCTTTTGTTTATTACAGCATTCTTTGAAGGGGAAGTCTGCAATTATTTTTTAATATCTCCAATCTGCTGTTGATTCAATGTTTGGAAGTCATTACATCAACAAATATCCCTAGGTCTGTGCCTTCCAGGTTCTTGGTAGGGTAACATTTTCAACTCTCAGCGTTGGTTAAAGCTGCATTTTGACACATTCTAAGCAAACAAGCCATCGGTACCTTTTGTGCCAGGGTATTCAATTGCTAATGTGAGACCTTGTAGAACTCTCTTTTATGTTATATAATAATTTATAATTTTTAAGATGATGGTTTGTCCTTTAATCCTCTGTCCAAAACCAAGAAAACTCTCAGTCAGGTTCCAGGTGACTTACTCCTGCTACGCCAGTATTTGGGAGGTCAAGGCAGGAAGATTGTTCAGAGTTCAAGGCCAGCCTGTGCTACATAGTGAGTTCTAGGCCATCATAAGCTAAAAAAAGAGACCCTGTCTCAAAACACACACACACAAAACAAACAAAAAAACAACCCTCTCCAAAAAGAAAAAGAAAAGCCTAGACCTTTCCTGTCCCATTTCTATTGGCATGAAGTATAAGCAACAAATCATTTCTGTCTGGGATGGGGTCTAGGCCTGGAACCCACTATATGGACCAAGCTGCCTGTGAGCTTGTGTTAACTCTCCCGCCTCTGCCCCATAGGATTACAAATGTGTACCACCAAGCCCAGCTTAACAAATAAACTTTTATAGCTGTAAGTTGTTGGTTCTCAACCTTCTTAATGCTGCAACCCTTTAATACAGCTCCTTGTGTTATGGTGACCCCCAACCATGAAGCTTTTCTCATTGCTACTTCATAACTGCAATTTTGCTACTATAAATTATCATGTAAATATCCGTGTTTGTTGATGGTCTTCGGTGACCCCAGTAAAAGGGTCATTTGGCCCCAAAGGGATCACATCCCGCATGTTGAGAACCAGGGCTGTAAGCCACCGGGACTTTAGGGTTGTTTGTTTTGGAAGTATAACCTAGTCTATCCTGACTGAAACATATTATTTTCCAATATCTCTGAGCTTTTCCCATTTTTCAATTTGATCTCATTATCATCAACTAAACTCACAATAGATAGTTTCTCAGAGAGGTTACATTCTTTCATACTAGCTATAATAACCGTAGAGAAATAAAACTTTAGAAAAAAATGACACAAAATAGCCCCATATTTGACTGTTTGCTAACCATATTTTTTAGGTAACCTGAACCTGACAGAATGTTCGCCAAAGCAACTCGGAATTTCCTTAAAGAAGTTGACGATGGAGGAGACCTGATCTCAGTCTCACACCTGAATGACTGTGACAAGCTGCAGCTCCTAAGTCTGGTGACCAAGAAGAAGAGGCACTGGTGCTGGCAGAGGCCCAAGTACCAGTTTTTGTCTGTCACCCTGGGAGATGTTCTCACAGAAGGGCAATATCTCAGTCCAGGTATGTTTCCTAATGACGCTTCAGCGGCTAGTCCCCCAGACAGGAAGGGCTCCTCTAGGCGACTGGAATGGATGTGGCGCCTTATACTGGGTTCTTCCTTTTCCTTGACTCTCTGGTATAAGAGGATATTCTAGGGGCTGGAGAGATGGCTCAGTGGTTAAGAGCACTGGCTGCTCTTCCAGAGGTCCTGAGTTCAATTCCCAGCAACCACATGGTGACTCACAACCATCTATAATGAGATCTGTCGCCCTCTGAAGGCATACATGAAGGCAGAATGTTGTATACATAATAAATAAATAAATCCTTAAAAAAAAAAAAGGATATTCTATCTTACTGAGCACAATTACGCACACCCGAAATGAAATGTTATGCCTCAGTATTGTAAAAGTGATTGTCAGTTTGGGTCTAAAAGTTCGTTGTGCCCATCATAAATGTTAGAGCCACTCAGCATAAGTGGGATGGCGCCCCTATACAAAATTAGGTTTAGTGTCGAGACAATATGCTGTTGACTGATCAGAGGGGCATGACAAGTTCTGTTTCTTGCATAATGATTTCTGAGGGGAGCAGGGCAGTCTCCCACTCTGGTCCAAAAGTGGCTATAGACGGCCTGCTAAAGAGATTGGCTCAGCATTTATTGTGGAGCTGGTGAAGACCCCTGCCTACAAATTGAGACTCTGTGGTTTACTTTACAGTGGCCCCAAGGGAAGGGGCACCTGGGATGGTACTGCCTCCCTGCCTCCATGTGTGTGTGTGTGTAAGTGAGGTGGGGAGAGAGAGGGAGAGGCAGGCAGACAGACAGATCCAGAGCCAATGCGACCAGTGAAGGTCAGAGGACAACCTTGGGTATCAGTCCTTAACCCCCTGTTTGAGACCAGCCATTCTGCCACCATGTACACCAGTGTACACCAATCTGATGTGGCGTATGGCCCAAGAGCTCCTGGGGTTCACTCTCTGGGTTCCCATCTCGCTGCAGGCACACTATGTATAGATTTATAGGTTCCTGGGATTTGATCTCAGGTCCTTGTGTTTGGATGGGGGGTGCTGAGCCATCTCTTCAGCCCCACCTGGTCCTCTAATCAGTTTGTACAGATATGCAGCAGAGAAGGAAGAGGGACTGACGGCAGGCTGGAGAGCTGGCAATAGACAGAGAGCACAGAGGATTGTCCACGGCACCCTCGGCTAGTCCATGCCACGTAACCTTTAGTCTATGATAGCTGTGTTCATGCTGGGATTCCTTAAGATTACCCCAGCTAGTGATCTCTGCACTCTCGTGATAAGAGCACTCTACGATGTCTCAACAGAGATGAAATCACCTAAGGATGCTTCTCTGACAACTTGACCCTGTTGCTAAGCAACACGTGGCTATGTTTATGAAGTATACAAAGAGATAAAGGAAAAAAACTTTATAATGTAGCATCATATGTCAATATCCTTTAATACTTAGGTCATGGTCTTTTTTTGAACTGCATATAATGGAAAAAATTGTGGTGTGTGTGTGTGTGTGTGTGTGTGTGAGAGAGAGAGAGAGAGAGAGAAAGAGAGAGAGAGAGAGAGAGAGCCAACAGCAGGTGTCTTCTGTAACTCCATCTTATTGTTTTGAGCAGAGTCTCCCTGGACCTGGTTCAGGCTAGCACAGCCTGGACTATTCTAGGATGTGCTGGAGATCTGAACTCAGATTCTCATGCTTGTGCAGCGAGCACCTGATCCTTCTCCCCAGCCTCAAACCTAAATACTTTTTACAAACAGAAGTAGAAACATGCTACATATGATTTTAATATATTCCTTATTTATTTTTATTTAATTTTATGTATGTTTTCCCTCTATAGATTTAGATACTTTTAATTCCATCTCAACAAACACATAATATTCTTTTGCATACATATACCTAATTTGACCAACTATTCCAGTTTGTGCTTAATAATTAAGACTACAGTGGACGTTTTTGTTTGTGGGTTTTCGCTTGTTTTTGAAACAGTTGCATTAGCATGCTTTCTTGGGTTTCCTGGACCAGAGGTTGGAAACTTTCTGAAGCTTGTTACTCCTTGCTAACTTCCTGAAACACGGTGATGTGTGACGGTAGCAACAGTTCTTAGTTATCGGATGAAACCAGGTCTAGTTCTCCTTCACAGTAAAGTTTCAGCCCTTTGTGATTGTGTGTCTGAAAGGAAAGGGAGCTAGAGTCGCCTACTTGGGTCTGCAGTCTCCATGCTTGCTTCCAGATGAGCCTTTTTGTCAATGCTGCCCTCAGCCGGTCCCTGGCGCTGCAACAGAACGGGAGGATGGATTGATCTGAACTTCATGTCATCCCCTATATATTAGCTCCTTTTCTCATTTCTGTGACAAAAGATCTGACAGGAAGCAACTTAAGAAAGAAAGAATATATTTTAACTCACACTTTTAGGGAGTCATGGCAGCAGGGTCTTCAGACATATTGCTGGTCACACTGCCTCCACAGCCAGGAAGCAGGGAGCCGTGGAGTCTAGCTCTTGACTGGCTGTCTCCCTTTCATTCAGTCCCGAATGGTGCCCCCACTCTTCCCACCTCAGGTGACCTAATCTAGACCACCCTCCTCTGGCATGCTTGGGAGCTTGTGTTCTAGGAGATTCCAGAGCCTGTCAGGTTGACAATACCCACCAGCACTCCCCTTCTTGTCCAGGTTTACGTTCTTGATGGTAGAACCTCTTTTGAGTAGCAAAATAGTGAAATTTTTTTGACACGAGAGGGAAAACATCATAAAATACACCAAGGGCTGCTGAGTCCTGGAATTTCTCTCTGTGGTGTTGAAATGATAACTTGGTGGTATCTTGAAAGATCGTGCAGACTTAAGTGAGGCTGGTGATGTCACTTGCCACCACAGATAAGGGATTCCTGAATATGGTCACCATCCGAGATCAGAGCTGAGGTTGGCTCCTGAGTCCTGATGGAGTCCTGGCTGGGAAGAGCAGATTCAGGGTGCTTCATCATTGTTGCCTCAACCCTGGATGGGTGTTGCTGAGGAGAGGGAGGGGGAGGGTGGTGATTGAATGGTTGCTGAGGATAGGGAGGGGGGAGGGCGGAGATTGAATGGGGGTGGCTCCCTGATAGCCCAGTGTTCCCTTCTTTCAGATTACAACTTGATAAAGAACTGTGTATAGGTGACATCTTTTTTACATGTGTGTCTAGGGTGACATTTCATGTGTTTGTTCTTGATTTTTCCCTATTTGCAGTGTGACCAGTTCTAGGGACTGCTACATTTTGAATCTAAACATCGACCCCCTAGTCTAATGTTTTGAATGCTTGGACTCCAGGCTATGGTGCTATTCTGAGAGCAGTGAACCCATAGGAGATGGGAGCAGCTGGCAGAAGTAGGTCACTAGGCAGGGGCCTTTGAAGCTTATACTTGGACTCTGGTTCCCATCACACAGTCCCTGCCTGTGGAGGTGAGTAGGATGAGTCTGTCAGGCTTGGATAGTTTAGAATCCCTTCTGAGGATCAGCCTGGAGCCGAGGAGAGACTTGGGAGAAGGACATGAAAAGACAGGGGTGATGCCCACCACGGGCTCTTCTGTATCCTCACCAAATAGCGGTGATTGATGCTGAAGATTTTTGTAGTTGTATCTTGACAGATTAAAATGGGGACAGTGGCCTGGGGGCATATATTCGTAGTAGAATATATGCCTAGTATATATGAAACCCTGGATTCAATACTGAGCACCCAAGAGAGAAAAGAGAAAGCAGGGGTGGGGGATTGTGGATTAAAAAAGAAAATCAAAACCCAAACTTAAGGCTGGTAGTTCACATGAGGGTTCTGAGCAGAGGGTGGGCCCTGAAGGCCCCCTGATGGCCCTCACTTGCATGTGGTCATAGCTCGGTGGTGGGACATTTGATTGTCAGTGAGGAACAAGGCTGTATTCCCAGCTGACTTGATTGACAGTGGAATGCTAGAGGGTACTGCAGTGTTCCTTAGAGTATGGAAAGTCTGGGGCTTTGTGTGCTTTGGGAGGCGGCTGAGGGGGTTGGGTATGCCTAGTGACTAACATGGTAAGGAGCTGAACGTCCTGCTAGAGCTCAGATATAAAGTAAACATTACATTTGCTGGGAGATGTTAAGGAGGACCGGGGCATTGGTCTTTAGGATGGGTGGTGGGAAGGAAGGATGTCCAAGGACCGGCCAGGAGGATCTGCCTTGCTATTGCTCCTCTGCGGTCTGCAGCAGTAGAGCGGGCACAGGTATCACCTGTCACTCTCCATTTTCATCCCCGTCCAGTCTTTACCCCAGCTGGCGGCCATCTTGGTTACTTTCGATCCTTGCAGGGACAAAAAATCCTGACCAAAACAACTTAAGCGAGAGCTTATTTGGGCTCACACTTTGAGGGTGCAGTCCGTCATGGCGAGAAGGGTCTGAAAGAGGGAATGGGTCACGTCACATCAAGTTCACAGTCAGCTCACTAGTCCTGTCCGCGTAGTCTGGGACGGCAGCCCACGGAATGGTGCCGCCCATCTTTAGAATGGGACTTTCCTACCTCAATTAACCCGATCTAGAAACTCTGTCCTAGGAAGGCAGAGGTTTCTTTCCTAGGTTATTCTAGATCCTTTCCAATTGAGAATCAATACAAACCATCACAGTGGCTAAAGAGGTGTGGCTGCGCTCAGTCAGCATGCAGGTGTGCTGACTGCATTTTACTAAATGTCCTCACAGTACAGCTGCCCACTTTCCAATTGGATGCTGGTGCGGGTTTCCCACAGGCTGCCGGGAAGCTGGGTTTCCCACAGGCTGCCGGGGACTCTGAGCCATCTGCTTTCAGACTCCTCTGCTCTCTTCTTTCCAGTGGTCGTGGAGTCTGACTTCGTGAAGTATGAGAGCAAGTTTGAGAACCATATGAGCGGGAGCATCAGGACGGCTGTGGGCAAGGTCAAGCTGAACGTTGGCGGCAAAGGCCTGGTGGAGGGCCGCTCTTCGTTTGGAAGCCTGAGGAAGCAGGAGGTGGATCTGCAGCAGCTCATTCAGGACGCAGTCGGGAGGTAAGGGGAGCTCCGTTCTGCACTCTGGGCCTTTAGACACCTCTGCCAAAATGTGGATTTTGCTAAACAGCATGGATTGAAGTAGTCCTGAAACTTTTAGCACATTCTTTATTTCAGAATTTACTGACTGTTTTTACCTGAGAGTGGAGACCTGGGAAGCGCTGCATATATATTTTTTAAAAATGCCAACAGTAGAAAGTTGGAGTCCTGATTTAAAATTTTTCTTAAATTTATTTTGGTGTGTGAGGGGGTGGGGCCTGTGTCATGGCAGACCTGTGGGGGTCAGAGGACAACTTGCTAGAGTCAGTTCTGTGCCATGTGGTCCTCAGTAGTCACGGCAGTCAGCTTAGTGGCTTTACCCGTTGACCCATCTTGCCAGCACAATTTGCTCATGGGGTTTTTGTTTTCATTAGTGTATTTGTTTGTGACAGTTTCCCTGTGGAACCCAGGCTGTCCTACTTCAGCCTTCTGAGTGCTTGAGTTACAGGTCTCTGCCGCCACACCCTGTTCAAAGAATCAGGGATGGTTTTGTTGGTTTGATCTCGGTGCTGGTGCTAGAACCAGGGCCTCCCATACTCTGGGCGAGAGCTGACTATGTCACCAGCCTCTGTAGTTTTGAATATTAACCATCAGAAGCAGGAAACTCTCAAGTCTACTTTGTGTCTTTTCATTTTTCTCATGGGGAAGAGAAGCGCAGGGCTTCATGGGAAAGAGCTGGGTTACCACTTCGACGTTTGGAAGGAAATCCTGTGTTTATTCATTTTTATCCCAGATAACTCATCCTTATTGACATTCTTCCTCATGTCAATTCAACGCTCACCGAGTAATTCTACTGACTGAATGCGATATACTCTCCATACTGGGGCTGCCGCAGCGAGCAAAATGCTGCATCTTCTGTCCACATTCTAGTGGCAGAGATTCCAAATGTGGAGTTAAATAAACCACGCAGGATACCGATGAGATGGAAGGCCTGGGGAAGGTGTAGCAAAGGGGGATGCTGTCTTACAGCGAGGCCAGAGAAGACACTGGAGAAACTGGTCTAAGAACAAAGCCTTGAAGAAGGAGAAAACAAGCAGGGTCCTTCACAAGGGTACTTCGTGCTGTGACTAGGATAGCTGCCCTAGGGTGACTAAGGGGAGGACAGGGGAGATCCAGGTCCCTAAGGACCTAGAGGCCACTGGAAAGACTTTGCCTCTCAATCTAAGTAAGACGGGATGTCCCTGGAGATTCCAAGCAGGAAAGTGACATGTTGACTTACTCTTTAGATGGATTTTCTTGACAACTGGGTCGGGAAGAGAATGGATGGGCAGAAGCCAGGGGACCAAGAGAGAAGTTAGTGCAGAGGTCCAAGGGAGATGGTATTTCAGTGTGTACAGAGCCGTGTGTGCGTCCCCATGTGTCATTTTTGTCACCCTTTCCCACTTAAGACAGAAAATGCAAATGCCTGTGCATCGCTGGAACAGCCACTTATATTTAGACGTAGGTAGCTTGTCTCTTCTGACGTTCTTAGGGCTGGTGGTGTATGTCAGTTGGTAGGGCACTTGTCTTGCACATGCAAGGCTGGGCTCTGGCCCTGGCAATGCCAAAGACAATAATCAGAAGAAAGTTCAACCTTGTTTTTAGGATTCAAAGAATGATGTGCTTATTGAGTGAAAGTATGTTTTAAATTGATAAATACAAATACAACGAAACATACATGTCAAGCATTTGGTGAGCAGATTTAGCACAGGCTGGGCAACGTCAGACTTCCAAGCTGGGCACCTGTAGCTGCCCTGTTTAATGGACACGGGAGAGCGCTATCATGTATTTGATACCTCCTAGCTTTCCCTGGGACTCCCCCAGTTCCTCACTCTCGGCCAGAGGACTTGTGGGTCTCTTTAGCGGTACTGGATGGGAGGCACAGTCACTCCGTGGCTGATCTTATTTCCCTCCTCTCTTGCTCTTTTCCACAAAGGCACCTTCCTTCTTTCCTGCAATGGACATGGGGAGGGGTGGGGGAGATTAGGTATTGTTTATCTGCAACCAAACTGCAACAGGGCGATGTTCATTCACTTTGCTAATAACTCTGGTGACACTCTTCATGGAGGAATGAGCACAGGGAGGCTGAGAAAGTCCAGGGCTTTTGCTCCCCCACTTTTTACCCATCCCCTTTTAGCTCCAATCTGCAGTTTTGTCATTTCTATTTCAGGAACCAGAGTTGGGCAATGCTCTGCAATCAGATCACATGATACAGGATTTGAAAGAAAGTCTCCGTGATTCTGGTGTAAAAGCTACTGTCAAAGGGAAGCTTGGGGGATCTTGTGAATAGCTGTGGGAGAAGACTTAGAAGAGGGAAGAGGAAGGGAGAAGGGGAGAGCCACCTTTGGGGCACCTACTATGTGCCAGGCAGTGGCTATTTCTCTGCTCATTCTCTCTGCACAGCAGACTGCTTTTGTGTGTGAGCAAACTGAGGCTTAGGGAAGGGAAACTGTTCCCAGTCACAGAGCCCAGTCTGTATGCTACAGCTGGGGTTCCAAGTTCTGGGTTCTGGAGTTCTGGGTTCCAAGTCTCCTATCCTTTCCTCTAAATCTTGCTTGAATTGGTGGAGGTAAACGTGATTTGGATATGATGCGGAGTACCCCTGAGGGTGTTTACAGGTGAAGTGTAGAATGGGTTCTGTCTTCCTAGGGTGCTTGGGATGGGTCGGGCAGGCCTGCTCCACCTGGACATGGCTGGACAGGTTGGGAAGATGGTTCACCCATCAGCTGCAGGTGTGATGAGAGATGGGACATTTTTGGAGAGTGGTAGCTAAGAGACGAGGAACATGTTAAAGAATGCATGTCAGGATGTATGATCTACATGCATGGGCTCTGGGTTCCGACCTCAACACTGAAGAATCAGAAAAAAAATAGGTGCGGTACCTGGCCCCAGGAGGTGCTTAGTGCAGAGCCACCCACCCCCTTGTGACGTTTTGCTGAGAGCTGAAGGTGAGCTGTCTGGGAAGGACGGAAGGCTTTCCCAGCCTCTGGATGGGTAGCAGTCAAGCTAGCGTTCCTGTGACTTCATACTAGAGCAATAAACTCTTATCTGTGTGCTCTGCCCGTCTTTGGACTCCTGGAACATCACCAGGCTTGATAAGGTGCTGTGGGTAGAGCTGTGGCCTTGGGCACGGTCACCAGCGATGCCACGGTATTGGATGTTCTCAGGGACATATTTGCAGCCGGGCGTTTTTATTTCAGCCATTTAGATAAGGTCCCAACTGTATACAAGTTTTGTAGCCAAAAGTCTTAGAGCTGGTGTGTGGATTAATATCCAGATCTCTGATTTGGTTCCATTAGTCAGACTTTTTTATGCCAACACCAAGCTGTTTTCATTACTGTAGCTTTATAATAGAGCTTGATATCAGGAATGGTGATGCCTCCAGAAGTTTCTTTATTGTACAGGATTGTTTTGGCTATTCTTGTTTTTTTGTTTGTTTGTTTTTCCATATGAAGTTGATTATTGTTCTTTCAAGGTCTGTGAAGAATTGTGTTGGGATTTTGATGGAGATTGCATTGAAATCTACAGATTGCTTTTGATAGGATTGCCATTTTTATTATGTTGATCCTACCCATCGAAGAGCATGGGAGAGTTTTCCATTTTATGATATCTTCTTCAACTTCTTTCTTCAAAGACTTAAAGTTCTTGTTGAATGGGTCTTTCACTTCTTTGGTTAGTGTTGCCATAAGATATTTTATGTTATTTTTGACTATTGTGAAGGGTGATGTTTCTCTGATTACGTTCTCAGCTTCTTTATCATTTGTATATAGGTGGGATACTGATTTTTTTTTATTTGATCTTGTATCCTGCCACATTACTGAACATTTTTATCAGCTGTAGGAATTCACTGGTAGAGTTTTGGGGTGACTTATGTATACTATTATATCATCTGCAAATAGCAAAAGTTTGACTTCTTCCTTTCCAATTTGTATCCCTTTGCTTTCCTTTTGTTGCCTTATCACTGTAGCCAGAACTTCTAGACCTATGTTGAATAGATATGGGGAGAATGGACAGCCTTGTTTTGTTCCTGATCACTTTGAATTTCTTCCCATTTGATTTGATGGTGACTGTCGGCTTGCTATGTATTGCTTTTTTTTTTTTTATCTATCATGTTTAGATATGTTCTTTGTATCCCTGATCTCTCCAAGACCTTTATCATGAAGGGGTGTTGGATTTTGTTGAGTGCTTTTTCAGCATCTAACAAGATGATCATATTGGGGTTTTTTTCCAGTTTATTTATATGGGGGATTACATTGATAGATTTTCGTATGTTGACCCATCCATGTATCTCTGGGATAAAGCTGACTTCATCATGGTGGATGATTTTTTTCGATGTGTTCTTGGATTCAGGTTCCCAGTATTTTATTGAGTATTTTTGCATAAATGTTTATGAGGGAGATTGGTCTGTAATGCTCTTTCTTGGTTGAGTCTTTGTGTGATTTCGGTATCAGGGTAACTGTGGCCTCATAAAAAGAGTCTGGCAATGTCTCTTCTGTTTCTACTGTGTGGAACACTTTGAGGAGTATAGGTATTAGCTCTTTTTTGAAGTTCTGATAGAATTCGGGCCCTGAGCTTTTTGTTTGTTTGTTTGTTGAGAGGCTTTTGATGACTGCTTCTATTTCCTTGTAGGTTATAGGTCTATTTAAATTGTTCACCTGGTCTTGATTTAATTTTGGTATGTGGTCACTTTCCAGAAAATTGTCCATTTCTTTTACATTTTCCAATTTTGTGGCGTACAGGCTTTTGTAATATGATCTAATAATTCTCTGGATTTCCATGGTGTCTGATGTTGTGTCCCCCTTTTCATTTCTGATTTTGTTAATTTGGGTGTTCTGTTTCTGCCTTTTGACTCTTTTGGATAAGGCTTTGAGGATTTTCTCAAAGAACCAGTCTTTGTTTCATTGATTCTTTGTATTGTTTTCTTTGTTTCTATTTTTTTGATTTCAGCCCTTAATTTGATTATTTTCTGTCATCTACTCCTC